TGTCCCCGTGTGTGTCCGTCCGTCCCCTTGAACCCATGGTCGTGACCTCGGCTGGGATTTACGCCCCTCGTCTCAGTGCCCCTGTGTGCCAGGGACCGTGGCAGCCGGCCTCCCTCAGGCGTCCCCATGTGTGGCTTGTTGCTCAGCGCTGTGGTTTTGAGACCCGCCCGTCTCGTGCGCCCACAGTCAGCATCATGGGTGCTGGGGGTCCCTGCTTCTGTGTTGGGGTGAGCAGCGCCGCCCTGAGCCTTGGGACGTCCGTGTCCCAAGGATGGCAGGCGGTGTTTGTGCCTCTGTGTGGATGTCCCCACTAGCAGCGCATGCTGGTCCCTGTGCCAGCCCTTGGTGTTGGCAGCAGGTGGCGTGGTTTTAGTGGCATTTTCCTGTTATGAATGAGTTTTAAATGCTATGTTAATTTTTTTTATCTTGATTTCTCTAAAGACTTTCATTGTATATCCCACATTATTAACTGGAGTTATTTTTGGTTTATGGTTGTTTTAACATTCTTTTATTTTTTGGATGTAAACTTTTTAAAGGTACACGTACTGATTTTGGTCAGAAAGTTAAAACACTGCATTTCCCCTTGCTGACCGCTCTGTGAGCCCCTCCCCGGGCCAAGCTGTGCCTGCCCCCCAAGTTCATGAGGACCACCTTCTGGAATTTTGCAGGTGGAAAACTTGTTGCTGAGTAACCAGGGGACCATTAAGCTGTGTGACTTCGGCAGTGCCACCACCATATCGCACTTCCCCGACTATAGCTGGAGCGCCCAGAAGCGGGCGCTGGTGGAGGAAGAGGTGAGCCCTGGGCTGGCCCCACCTGCAGCTCTGCACACAGCACCGCCTGGGGCAGCCTGCAGGTGCGTCCCTGCGTGGGACCTGTGTCCCCAGGGTGCCACCCTACAAGTGCGGCGCTGGCTGGGTGGAGGGTCAGTGCCACCCGCCGGGCTTCAGGACGTGACATGTTCAGCATAAGGTCATCGTGCAGTGGTGCAGGGCCACGAGCCTGCAGCCTGAAGGCTTTCCTGGGGACGCCCCTTCTCCCACTGCCCTTGTCTCCTTCCTGGTCTCCTGGATGAGCCTGCCTAAGCTGAGCGGAAGGGCAGTTTGGGGCAGGGCCTGCTCTCGGCCCGCACAAGCAGTCCAGCATGTTCTCGTTGCTCTCTGAGGGGTTGGTTGCAGGAGTCATGTGCATCTGGACACAGGCCCCCTGTCGGCACTGGGTGTCACGTGTGTGCCCGGTCTGTGGCCGACCTCTTCCAACAGCGGGTCTCCAAGTACACATCGGTCACACTATGCACGCGCCCGGTTTTCCCTGTCCTGCCCAGGTCATGGGGAATCTAGGCCTTGGGGTTGGCGTGTTTGCCATTTGCTGGGGCAGGCAGCTCTTATCCATGAGGTGCCTGCCCTGCGTGCGCACCTTCAGGTTTTGCTACCTCTCCCATTCCCGAAGGCTCTTTCAGGAGAGTGCTTCCCTTCATACACACCTGCGGCCCACCTCGCAGAGCTCGCCAGGGGCTGCCCTGGACGTACTCCTGTCAGGTGCACACATAGTGAGGTGCCCGTGGTGGGTGTTGGCATGGCTGCTTTGGCAGGCACTGGATGCCACGTGAGACAGGTGGACACAGGCACCGTAGGGGTGAGGAGGGGCGAGCAGCCCGAGGCCTTTCGGGAACGCAGTGGGGTGGAAGTGAGCGCACGCAGTGTGTCTGGGAAAGCTGTGGGCATCAGTACACAATAAAAATAGTGTGTGCAGCGGACTTTCCTCTGAAATGTGTGTGTCTTCAGATCACCAGGAACACAACACCCATGTATAGGACGCCGGAAATCGTGGACTTGTACTCAAACTTCCCAATCAGTGAAAAGCAGGACATCTGGGTGAGGCCCACCGCCTGTGGCTCTGGGGTGGGCCGGCCGCGGGGCGGGTGAGAGGCCCTCGGGCACAGGCCTGGCTCAGGAAGCCACATTCCTTTTGGCCTTCCTTCTGCTGTGACTGGTTGGAGAAGATGGATGAGTAGGACCTGGGTGGGAGTCAGTGTGGAGTGGAGGCAGCATGGGCCCCTCCAGACGTTCTGCTGCTCTGCTGACACAGGAACACCTGCTGTCCGGGCCAGAGTCCCCTCGGGCTGTATATTCACCAAGCCATGGGGCACGTGGCCAGACCCTGGGCATGCACACGGCTGGGAGCTCTGTGCTGGCTGGTGGTGGCCTGGGTACGGTCTGGCGTCGGTGGGCGGGCGTCATGCCTAGCTGTGCTCCTTTGGTGTCCTGCAGCCTCCCTGGCCTCCCTAAAAGCAGGGACAGTGGTGCCACAGCTCTAGACCTTCCTGAGCCCCGCGCCAGAGCCTCCTAAGCCAGACTCTGTGCTCGGGCATGAATCAGACCAGGCCTGGCTTAGCCACGGGCAGGCCAAGACTGTGCCCAGACCGTCCCCTGGAGGGTCCAGGACGGGCCATCCCTCACCTCCGTTCCCCCACAGGCCCTGGGCTGCATCCTGTACCTTCTGTGCTTCCGGCAGCACCCTTTTGAGGACGGAGCGAAGCTGCGGATAGTGAACGGGAAATACTCGATCCCGCCTAACGACACTCGGTACTGCGTGTTCCACGACCTCATCCGTAAGTCCCGTGTGCGGGGCCGTGGAGGACACACCTCTTGTCATGTCTGATGTTTGGCAGCCGCCCTCGTGGGCATTTCCATGGGGTGCCCACCAATCGCGCTTTCTGACTACATGTTGATAAGTTTACTCCATTTTGTTGTTGTCTTCATGTCGTCATTCCCTCACTTGCTTTTAAAATCAGTCATGGAAGTAAAACAAGGGGCCTTGTGGGTGCGTCACCTCCACCAGGGCGGGGCACTGGGACACGGATGCTGAGCACGCGCTGCCTCCGCTATAGGCGCCATGCTGAAGGTGAACCCGGAGGAGCGGCTGTCCATCACAGAGTTGGTGAACCAGCTGCAGGAGATCGCGGCTGCCAGGAACGTGAACCCCAAGTCGCCCATCACCGAGGTAGGCCTCCCAGGCGTTGCTTCGAGTGCACGGCCGAGAGGCCCCACCTGCGGTAAGGCTGATGCATCTCTCGGGGC